TACATGAAATCTTTATTTTACAAATATCATACAATGTATTGAGAGCCCATAGCACTGGAGTCTCAGAGTATTTTAAGTTTTTAAAGAGAGCATAAGCTGTTTGCATTTAGATTCCCTCTCTAACTAAATGTCTGTACACAACCATAAAGAGTACTGAAAATGGTAAGAAGGGGATGAGTCACTCAGGTTGCTTATTTAGGCGTCTATGTAATTTGAGCACGAGCTAAGGAAAGGTGTAAACACAGGTTTTTTGGTAGGTACAGACTAGCATCATAAACAAGTGAAAGGCAGCCTAACACTCTACCTATTGGATGTAAATCCCCAATACGAAATATTAATATACAATGAGGAGAATTTATCAAAACTGGAGGAGACAAAATCTCGAGCAGCTATGCAGGGCAACCAATCCACTTTTCATTTTTAAATCTCAACTGAACACAGTGAAGAAATAAGCTGATTGGTTGCCATAGGTAACTGCTCCAGGTTCAATCTACTCCAGTTTTGATAAATTCCCCTCAACATGTTATATTTACCTGACTAAAGAGGAAACATGAACCTAATTAAAATAAAATACACTCTTCACTTCTTTTAAAGAACAACTTAATTCAATGATTTTCATTAGAAGTCTACATCTGTGTCAGAGACATCCCACAGACCTCCATGTGTGTCATACATACTTGAAACAAGAACATTTCCTACAGGAATACAAAGAGAAGAACACAAAGGAAATTTTAGAATGGTAGAATAGGACCACAGAGGTAAGTGATGTTGCCACATTAATCCCTTCACCACATTCACTGAGAACTATTGATACGTTTTTTTTAATTAGTCAATAATATTTTCCTGATTAATAAAAGAAACAACTAATGCAACCTTACCTCAACTGTGCAGGTTTTTTTCCTGAGGAAAGGAATTTATTACATAGAGCAATGACTCAAGTAGACTAATTTATGAAAGCTACACCAAAATTAAACTAGTGGTGTTGCCAACCCAACAGCCAGTGTACTTGCCAACAGTCTTGGATTTTAGAAACAGGGAATTACACAAAATGGGTTTAGGAGATAACTTGCCATGTCTCAGCAGATCAAGACAGCGTTTGGGTAGATAACATTTCCCCTTAAGTTGCTGGCAGTAGTCTCACATATCTAGCTGAACTCCCTTCTGACTGACTTCAAAGCATTAGCATGTAAGAAGTATCTCAACAACAAAAGTTATTGTGACATACTTTGCCCTACGTTTACAAACAGGTTGGTATATTTTCTATATTTTCTCCATTGCTTTCAGTTTAATCCAGGCTCTTATGAGTGTAAGTGGGCAGATCTTTTTCCTTCCTTTATATGTTATTGTGGTCAGGTTTCACAATTCTGAAATATCCATTAATATCAGGGGATCCCATGTTTTTATCAGTTCACCAGCACAACCCAGTGGAACACACAACGGTGTCTGGCTGGTCTAATATTAATCCTTTTGGCAGATCCCACTGGAACACATCAACAGTGGCTGGTAGAAGCAATAAATAATAATAAAACCTTAGGGAAACCCTTGAACACTAGAGTTCCTGAATAGCTTGGCAGGGTTACAGCCAGTGCTAAACCTATCATATTAAAGCAGTACTTAAAGGCAAAGTGTTTGTTCTAGTTTTGCATCAAGTAGGGGATGGTTGCTGACTGTGGCCCACTGGGGTAATCTCCCTTTGTTTCCTGACTCGGAAACACAACAGGGAGCAAGAAGAAATCCTAGGAAAGTGAGGGGAAATCCCCTGTTTGACCACTGTGCCTAGCTGTAGGCTCAATCCATGACCAATCAGCCAAATCCTAATTAGTGGTAACTTTTAAGGAACATTTCTGTATTTTGCCCACCTTTGAATATACAACTGTATACATAATCATTGAACTACTCCTAAGCATATCATAGTTACATTCCATGTTTATCTATCTGGTAGCACATTGTTGGATAGCAAAATAATTGGGAAACATTGAAGTCCTATAGTTACCAGCATTCCTGACACATACATTGACCAATTGCAAACATAATTTCCTAATATAATCAGAAGTGGCCAATAGTGGTCAATTACTGGAAGCTGACAACAGGAGGAAGAAAGTTTTAAACTATTTTTGTGGACCAACAGAAAATAAGTCAGTTTTTATCTTTGAAAATTAAGACCCTTTGTCTAAAAATGTTCTTGCATTCCAAATATATCTATATTTAGTTTGATATTATTCATGATGAAGTCATATCTATATAAAACAAATTCATCTTTTTTATTTCTAGAAAATACATTTTGAACATTTATGTAAACCGCTACAAAGTCAATCAGGAGTTCTTAACTTTTCCTGCTCAGAGCCAAAAAACTTTGGTAAATTAGCTCTGAAACCTTTTGCCTCGTTGTTTTAATTAATAATGTATTTAGGTTTAATTACTTTACTGTGAATATGACTGAAATATTCTGTTTCATTAAAAAGTTACTGCAAAGAAACTGGGCACAGCAGAAAATAAAATTAAACTAACAATATATATTAATTGGTAGTATGGTGTAAGGAAAAAGTAACGGTTCTGGGGATCTGTGCTGACCATATAATAACAAAATAAGGTGTTTTGATTTAACAGAAGAAGCCAACAAAATAAAATTGGTTTCCCACCGTGCAGTAGTTCAGTGGTGGCAATTTTTCTCTAGATTCATGTATTGTTTTATTTTCACCTGACTCTAAGGTTTTATCCTGTAAAAAAAAGATGCATGGATGTAAAAAGTAAAAATGATTGAAAACCTTTTTCCTGAAACCAGAGGGGTTTTTAACTCTTCCCACACATTGTCCCTGAAGACAAACTTCTCCCAATTTGTGTATATTAAAAATGATATTATTTGCACTAATGCAGTTGTAACAAGTGCAAATAAAAACATACAATAAAGAGATGTTCATAGACAGAACAACAGGTAAGACATCTGCCCATCCTTGAAGTAACTCCAGCTCCTGGTCTGACATAGGACCGCACAGCCCACCACCTCCCCACAAAACATTAATATTGTTGGTTATGTGTTTAGATGAAGCACTGAGTTCTTGAGGAATGCTGAATTAAGTTTTTACTTGCTTATGAAAACATCACATCAGAATACATAATTGTGAAGGAATCTATGTCTATCTATCTATGTATCATAGATAAGCATGCATATAAATAAACTAACATTGCACTACACTGCCATCTATAGCTCAAACGACATATTGCAGTCAGTAATACAATCAGTACATGGCAGTATATGCTGTTGCATTTCCAATAATAAATAATGAATATAACAATAACATTAGGATAATAAACACTGACAGTCCCCGCTCTCTGCAGGGAGATGATTGCAAAGTGAGCGAGCAACGTTATGTTTCTGCTCACTTCCCGATCAAAAGAGCACACATGTGACAGTTTCAATGTCACACGTCGGCTGTAACTATGAGGATGAGTGTAAATCACTCACCTCATAGTTCTCCTATAAAGAGAGGACAGTTCCAGTCAAATAATAAAATACACTGTTCAAACACATGTATAAGAATTGTTTTACCTGACAACAAACTGCAAAGTAAGCATTTGCTTTTCTATTTACCCAGTAAATCCTGCAGGCTAAGTGCCACTACCCCACCCTCTCCTTTCTCTATGAACCCCTAGCATGTACAGTATTATCATACTAGCGATACCCACCCTGATCTCTTTACTTTTTGCTTGTTTCTCCCACCCACCAATTCAACATACACTCCCACCAAAAACCTAGCTTTATATTTTAGATGGCGTAACCACTACCTACAACAAAAAATTATCTAATAACTTGTATAGAAGTACAAAGTACAAAGTTGTTGTTCAAATTCGCATACATTCATATCTGGATTTCTTGAATCAACCCCATTGTTGTGACTTGTGCATTGATTTCTCAATTTATGACCGACTGAGTTTTAGATGCAGTTGGATCCAGTACAGCAATGTACCTTCCTACACAATGTCCCTCTATAATCCTTTCTTATCTATGTTTTATCTTCTGCAATTTATGACACCAAGGTAATGTATAGCGTAATCATTCTCTCACATCACGGTATATAGGTAGACACAGTGTACTGAATACACCTGTCTACCAGTTTATTACCTGCACCTTGCATACATTATTACTTTGTAACCTGAACAAGCTGTATGTGGTTAAATATTGCAGGAGAAATACATAGACATGTGAATTTCTCTATATCAATCTTTAATGCAAGTTAACTCATAACCTCATTATATCTAATATGAATAATATGTTTATCAAGCCATGCAATAAAATAAAATAGCATTTAAGAGTATCACGAGATCACCCAGTTATTATACAAACAATCACACAATGTTCTACTTCCAGCTCTGTGTATACACAAGGACAAGGAAACGGAACACTGCAAATGCTAAAGTTATACCTATTCTATGTACTTAGCTTGCCACAAAGTTTTTGTTTTCCCTGGCAGTTCTTTCAATACCGACTCAAATGTACAAGAAATGTGTTTCACATCAGTATGAAACTATCAATTACTTGGAAGGATAGAAAAGCAGTGTTCATCCTCAACAATGGTGCCAGATTTGTAGCTAAAACCCTGAACTGATGAATTAATTCTAATTTAAAAAAAAGTACAGCATAAGTCAATTGTAGTCTGCGTTGCAGCTCCCCCTGCACCCATACTAGGGAATAGATATACTCCACAAGCTTTTCCCTCATAGTGAAGTCTTACATAACAATTTGTGTGAAGGTGGTTCTTTGAAAACCCTGTAATGGATACAAACTGCCGAGGACCCTGAGCAATCATGCTCATGATTGTATATTAGCATATGTACAGGTTCTACTGTCATGGTACCCCTCAGGCAAAATCTGAAACTCAGATGGCATCTACAATTTGGCTTCAAACATTTCCTTGAAACAATTGTAAATTTTGCTTTTGCTATCATTCACCACCTTTTGTTGCTTATATAGTGTACTCCCTGGCACAAATTTCGGTGCTGGTATGACCATCACCAATGGATCCGTTCTCATGCCACAGCCTAGAAAGAAAAGCCCTTCCTTCTGGTAACTCTCCAGAGGGCCATGGGCCATATTTACCATAAAACACAGTAGGGTAAGAAGGGGTGCCACCAAAAGAATAACATTTCTAATTTATGCTTACAACTCTTTTTATATATTGGCTATGTTTCCACACCTCATGATGACTTGTCAGTAATTCCAAAAGGAGATGTGAATGGAACAGAAGACTAATGTAAATTTAATGGTTGATTTCAATCTTTTTAAATGTGCAGCTTTCATAAAAATAACTGGTCATCCTGCCATGAAGGTAATTGTTCAGGTTCCTTCATGGTGAGAACTGCCTCACCGCTGTGCTTCTGCATTGTCATCCTCTCACACTGAAATGTAAAAAAGGTTGGAAAGAGGAGAAAATAGAAAAAATATGGTGGTGGTTTATAGTGCTTTAGCAATATTAAGGCCTGTGTCGATGGCATTTGGCCTTGTGTTGATGGCATCAGCTTGACATCAGTTTGAGATGCTTCTGAGATGATTCAAAATTCAGACAGGTGTATTTGACCAGCTGCTGACCACCTTCTGACCTGCATTTGAACTGCCTAAGGCCTCTTTTACACAGGCCGTCCAATCTGGCTCGTCTGTCAGTTTTTCAGGTGGGTCCGATCGAAAGCCTAATGTTACTCTATGGGCAGCTGGATCTAAACGGACGTACATCTGTTTACATCCCCCGACCCTGTCTAGGTCTAGAAAAGAGTTCCGTTTTGGTGGACGTGATCATGACAGATCGGAGGTAAGTATATGTAAACATGTCTGTTTACATCTGACTCCCCACAGACCTAACATTGGTCTGGTTAGGAGAACATACAAAAGAAGCACCACCCCTCCACAGCTCAGGAAAGGAATAAACCGGTTGCTTGTCGCAGGGAGCACGTCCTTGCTCCAATATGAGCCCATACAAACAGAAGTAAATCTGGCTGTACATCGGATTCCACTGGGATAGTTTATTGAAGCTTGTACCACACTTGTACAAACCTCAAATAAACTGTCCCAGTGGAATCCTGTGTGCAGCCAGATTTTCTTTTGTTTGTATGGGTCCGGTTAGCTCAATTTCTCCTCCTTGCAAGTATGTTCCTCAGTATGTTCCATACTGCTCTGTACACAGATTCCCTGCTGATCGGAATGGACAGCACTCATTTAAAAGAGGGCCTTAGGTGAGTTTTGCATTGCCAAAAGCTTGTATGAGAATTCAAAACTTGTCAGAGGAAAACTAAACTTGTTGATGCTGGCTCTAAATGTCATCCAGCTACAGTTTAGACCTACTTTATGGTAAACATTTTAATAATTACTCAAAATATGCAGTCAGTGGAAATACACTGTACTCTCCCTTTAAAACAAAATTGATAATAAAGAGTGCTTGTTCTATATACAGGAAGGCAGTAAACATTCACTGAGCTGAGCCATGGCTCCATCTATCAAGTCATTCATTGCTAATGACCTTACTTGTTTGTGATATACATCCAGTTAGGGTTACTATCTACTTTAACATGTGTCTAGGTTATCATGACTTGTTAGAGATGTCACCAGCAAACCATGTAGAAGTGAAGCAAACATCTGTTTATTGACACTTCATGTCAGAACAAATTACAACGTTTCGGGGCCATGCAGGGTCCCCTTCATCAGACTTGAAATGACAACAAAGCTTAAAAACCACCTATCCTATATTGCAATACCAGTCAGTGCAAAATAAACAGAAGCCCCACCCACCTACCCCATGATGTCACTGTGATGTCATACTCCCGCCAAATGCCATTAGAAGAAAATATTATTCTTTCATGAGGACAGAATGTGCATCAGTGCCAATAACTACAGTAGACTGTAAAAAGGTATTAAAAAAATAACCAAAAACAAATGCAGTGTTAGCTACCTAATCAGTCTCATGACAGGCTAATTGATTGATATAGTAATCCTTGGTGAACTGAAAACATAAAAATAGGCCCAATATCTTCAACCGTGGTGGGAGCAATGCCAAAGTGCATGAGGGGTGAAGGAATAACACCTTGTGATACCAAAAATTAATTGAAATTAAAAACACCAAAGCTGCTACTGAACCGCCAGCAGCCAATTGAGTAATTGTGTGGATCATGATAGTGGCATACCATTGGGTACTAGGAGAGCCAGCAAAGGATGGTGACTCAGAGATCATCTTTCATCTAAAAAGCAGGCTAGTGTATATCCAGTATGCCTCTCTTTGCAACAACTGTTTTGCCCTATAACCCCCTCTGGGATGCATCTGTACCTGTTCTGTTACCATGCCTCTGAGATCATGCATCTGGTGTTATGTAATTAATGTAATGCAACTGGTTTATTTATGTCCACTTCCTCCCCTTCAGCAATTTGCCAATTGCTATGCGATTATCGTTGCAATGTCTTTGGAAGCGGCATTTGAAGGAACCTATCGTTCTGCCCACATAGACCAATGCACAGGGACATTTTAGTAAATAGACGCAGAACTCAGTATTGGATGCTAACAGCCCGGGGATCTTATATTTGTTACCATTGTATGGGTGTGTAAAATGTTCCCCACAGATCACGAAATTACAAATGTTACAATGGAAACACCTGTAACATCCTGTCTTATGGGAAAAAGCTAACTTTTTTTGCAATATTTAGATCTCGGGTCTGCCTGTACCAAAAAAATCTTTTACAGTCTTACTATATGTAAAGGCCTATTTTTTTGCAATATTGGATAGGCTCCTCTCAGCCTTAAGAATTTTCAGGTTTTTGATAGTGGCTCTATGTACATCTTTGGAGGCAGTGGTAAATGTCTGGATAAACGGAATTCTCTTGGAGTTATGTCGTGGATTAATTCGTGCACGACTTCTCAGTACAGCCCTAGGTATGGATGATTACAAGAAGTGAGGGCTTTGCTTCTTTCTTGTGGATCCCTCTATACCATGCTGATAGGCACCTCTCTTATATAGGGCCCCTGTAGAGCAGCACTGGTTACAGAATCAATATGTTCAAGAATGTGGACGCTCCGTTGCCACACACATAAAAAAACTTGCAAAAGTGTGTGTGATTTCTTGGAGTCTTGGATTCATCAATTCTGGCCCCTTTCTAAGTTCCCAATAAAAACCACATGAAGTGCACATCATGGGTTGCAATGGCCACAGAAGCCCTTTATTTAAGCATATAACAAATTACATTTTACTACTCATAATAACCAGAAACAAAAAACAAAATAATAGTAACCAGAAACAAACCAAAATAATAATAACATAACAACTGCTGTCACGAGAAAGGGGTCATTGGTGTCCGTTAGCCCAACTAAGGCTGTTCTAAACATGTTCCCAGCCAAACCCCCCAGTGGCTTGAGGACAATTCCAGCATTAACCAGGCCTGACTTTCCCAAGGGGCCAGGGCCCCCTATCCACAATGTTTTTTTTTTACCATCTCACATTTATTTGACTCCCAAAGACCCCCTAACCCACCAAGCTGCCATGACAAACACACAGAAAATGCTAAATCATCTGTAACTTTAAGATAAGGGAGGACGGATAGGACAACTTGCTTCCTCTGTCGACTTTCCAGAAAGGACTCCCACCAGGGCTCCTTTCAACCATGCATTATTTTTTGCGATCACACTGGAACTCAGGAAATTGCTGTACCACGCGTTCCAGTGCGGGCGATTACATTGCGGGAGGGAGAAGTGTCTGCGGTGCTATTGAAATGAATGGTACCACCACGCCCCCTCCCATCCCAGAATGCAAGGAGGCTCTGAATATGCAACCCAGTGCATTTATGGCATGGAACCTTGCCCTGAACTGGTGTGAACGGGCCCTTAATTAAGTAAGGCCCTCTAATTATTCCCCATCTTGAACCTTTCCAAGGAGACAATTCCTCCCCACAGTCATGTAGCCCCTCAGCTTAATATCTCCGGGTCTGAAAGAAGCTTGGTCATATTGAAAATATTGAGATTAGTACCTTGTGCAATGTTACTTTTTGAGTTCTCCAAGGTGAAACCTGCACATATAGCAAACGTCTGTTTTCCTCTAACAAAACTGGAGAAAGGTCTTTACTGTTTCTGTGTGTGTGTGTGTGTATGTGTGTGTGTGTATGTGTGTATGTGTGTGTATGTGTGTGTGTGTGTGTGTGTGTGTATGTGTGTGTGTATGTGTGTATGTGTGTGTGTTTATAGTGTTTGTGTGCGTGTGTGATTAGCAGCAGTCATGCTGAATCCAGTCCCTTTGTTAATAAAACTTCAGCTCTGCAAGCAAAGTATACAAAGTAGCTCCCTTAATCTAATCCACTTTGTTCCTGTTTGGAAAAAACATTACCAGTGAGTTTTAAAACCTTTTTCATAGAAACTGAAAAAGTTATTATTAAAAGCAACATAAATCGACCAAACATTAATAAAGAACATGATAAAGAATTAATGACTTCTATAAACAGAAGAACAGCTCTTGTTAGAGTAGTAGTACAAGATGTTCCAAGCTTGGCTTAAAAATACAGTCGTGAATACATTGCATGCAATTCAATGTCTTCATTATGTGTTTCTGCTTGAACCGGAAATGTTATAAAATATATCTCTCAAGGAAAATCAAGTTCCCTGTGTAGCAATAGGCGGAGAAAGGGGCATGACTGATGCAGGTCAGACCTGAACAAGAAGGAGTTAGGTCAGTATTAGATGAAAGGGTGTTTTTTCTGTTGTGTTTGAAAAGGGGGAGGGAGGGCCAGCTAGCTTAGTGATAGGTGGGTTTAGCTTGGGGGGTGGAGTTAGGGGGCCATCTTACTGTACAGGGTGAGGTAGGGAACCATTTTAGGTGGGAGAGAAAAGGAGTCAGTCCCGCCCACCCTACCCGATAGTATTTCAGCTTGTTGTTTTTTATGTTTCCTAAGGGTTTCCGCAAGTGTGGAATTTGGGGAGGAGGGATACATTTCCCTCCTTTTTTCTAGTTAGGGTTATGGGTATTCCTTTTCTGCGTTTAAGGTGGAATTTGTGTTTTTGGAAATATGTCTGACTTATTTTTCTTCTAGGTTGGTCGTCCATTGGGTAGTAAGGGAAGTGCCAATGGTGGGGCTACTGGGCTCTATAGCTTGGTAGCCAGTAAGAACTTGGGCAACTGTTGGTGGGCGTACCCACGTACCGTACTTGGGCCAGAATATGGGCGGCCGGTGGCTGGTACAGTAAACAATGGGTCATGGTACACCACCCGTAAGCGGTGAGTGGTGTTTTTTGGCACTCGTCATGGACCAAAGTATTTTGTTCATAGTATGTTCTGCTATTATTGTAAATGTTTACATCACTGTGGCCTTTCAACCTTCCAATAAATGTTATTACATTACGTTCTTTGAAATTACTGTGTTCAGTGTGTTATTTAGGTGGGAAGTGAGGGTTACTTGGCTTTGCAGTCAGTCATGTCCATCTTCACTTATTTAATTTCATCCATCTATGTATTCATTTTCCAGAAATCTGATGATCAACTACTAGAGTTGTGTATTATAGTAAGATAGGTCAAACGTACGATTGAC